TAATATAACTCTATGGCAAGACTAGACACGTGCACTGATGTTTCTTGAACATAAAATCACACCTGTGCTCCAGCGGCCTCGGGACTTAGTTCCACACGTGCCCTCATGGCTTTTGCTGGTGAACACAGGTTCGGTCTTGCAGCTTCCTTTGGCATACAGGCTCACTGGACGCTGTTGAGAAGCGGCACACAGAGTAAGGCTGAGGGAGCTGCTTCATCGTAATATGAGGTGACGGGGGAGTTTTCCTGTTCATAAGTGGCTTCATTACCTGTACTTCAGTTTTTAACTTATGTGAACCTAGATCTTAAAAATAAAAATCACCGAAAGATAAAAATTAGGGCAACCTTCTACCAATCTCTTTCTATTTGGCTACCTAGTGCTGGAGTGTGCAAGTGCACAATTCAGTGTTGGCCTCATGTTCATTCAGAATTATGCTTGCCTTTGTCTTGAAGGCAACGTTTGACCTTTAAAAACCCAGAGACATCTATTTTGTCTCTGAAATTGTGTGATCAATGATCAAGCAAACTTGCAGGTTTATCTAACCAGAAAAAAAAAATGCCATCACATTGTTAATATTGCACTGTTTGCTTTATAAACATTCTCAATGATTAGAGCACGGAATTAAATTTTTTATTTTTTAGTAGTTGAGAAGGGTTTTATTGTAGATATGAGGGAGAGAGCAGCCAGAGGCATCTGGAAGGGTCCAGACTGAACCAGGCCATGAGAGAGGAAGAAGGGGGACTGGGGAGCAGTTGAAGAGAGGAGCCTTGAACCAAGAGGCCAAGAGTGAGCCAAGATAGCATGCAGCCAACATGGCTGGGTTTATATAGTAAAGAGAAACTGGGGGAAGGGAAACTCAGCTGTGGGCTGGAGAGATTTAGGATAGGGGACAGGATAAGAAGGAGCACGGAATTTGTGTGTGTGTGTGTGTGTTATTGAAGTGATATAATACACATAATATATGTATTATTGAAGTGAATCTCCTCAGGCACAATTATTAAAGCTAGAAAATTTATGTACAGAAGTTACTATAAGCTATGATCTAATTAGTGTTTTAAAAAACTAGACATAAATGGTTGTTAAGGCACTGGTCATAGACAGTGAAAGGACAATAGTCCATGAGATGTGGATAGCAACCCAGGTGAGTCAAAACTACTCCAGGTTACTACTGCCTGGACAGAAGTGTCCAGCTCTGGCCTGGGGCTAGAGAATTCAGATTGGCTGGGCTGGGATCCCAATACAACTATAGTTCATGGGGTGGAATATTAGAGTGTAGAGAATAAAAATTTTACTCAAGATCCAGGACAGGCACCAAAACTACACAGAGAAACTCTGTCTCAAAAACAAAACAAAACAAATAATAATTTTACTCAAACTTTTCTAGAAAATGGAAGAAAGAATATATCCCACTGTTGGCCTCACCATCCATGAGGTCAACACTACTTCCCTAACATTAATGCAAAAAATCCACCATGTTCTAGTAAAGGCTGGTTCCTTTGTAAGACCCTCTTATTACCAACTGTGAGAAATGTGGCCAGATGGGAAGGACCACAATCTTGGGGGTGAGTATAGTGTACATAGTTCTTTGCGTGTGTGTGTGATGTGTTTGTGTGAATGCAGGCACACATGTGCCACAGGGCATGTATGAAGATCAGAGGACAAGTTAGGATGTCACCCTTGCTTCCTACCTTACTTGAGATGGTTCTCAATGTCCCAAATAGGCCAGGCCAGCTGGCCCGTGATCTTCTGTCTCCACCTCGTATTTCATCCTAAGAGCACTGGGCTAACAGATGTGCACTACCCTGACTTTTGCGTTTTCTAGAGACCTGAACTTATACTTGCATGGCAAGAGCTTTAACCATGGAAGCATCTCCCCAGCCTCGGTGCACATTTGAAAACACAGAGCCAGGCATATGGTGGTGCATACCTATAATCCCGGAACTCAGAAGGCTGAGAAGCTCATGAGTTTAAGAGCAGTCTAGATGACATAGAGACTCTGAAGAAAGAAAAAAAAGGTGGGAAAAACCTTAGTAGGATTTTAGTGAATTTAAAATTCATACTAACCATGTCACATTTTCACTCTAGATTCTCCAATAATGTCCCATTGCTGTTTAGATGTTCTGGAGATGGGAACTCATTTAGCACTGTGCATGAAATCAAGGCTTACCTTCAACTGTTCATCCTGCCTCCACTTTCTAAGGATTGGGACTATAGGCACGTGCCACTACATGTACTCTGCCCCATCATTACCCAATCTTCGCCCCCTACACTTTACCCTCCATACACACAAACTTTTTAGTCCCTCAGAATTTCCCACAAGGCATTTGTGTCTCTTTACATAGCCCTGGCTGTCCTGGATCTACCAGGCTAGCCTTGAACTCACAGTGACCCACCTGCCTCCACCTCCAAAATGCTGAAATTCAAGGCATGTGCCTTTAATGGTGGGTTATACCAAGAACCTCTCCTCCCAGGATTTGCTGGAATGTGAGTTGTATGGAAGGTTATATGTGGGTGTGTGTGACTACTCGACAACTATTCGGCCCTTCACTACTGTAGTAAGTCCATGGAGTCTGGGTTTGCTTCTGCTTTTGTCCAGTTTTAGTCCAGTGTCAGTACTTGTTGGTCTCAGTGATATTTAGGAAAGGCCTTCCAATCAGTTTAAGATGGAGTTTTTATTTCTATGGCTTCTCCATTAGGTGGCAGCATTAAAAGCAAATGAAGAAAACTTGATTTCCAAGAGCCCGATTTCAGGTGTGAGCATTGCCATGCTGCTGTTTATTGATTATCTGTCATTTATGATCTGCTATTATTATTGCCATGCTGCCATTTATGTGTTATTATATAGTTATATATTATCATCTATCTTATATGTCATATTAATACTCAGTCCACTATTCAGAATATGAGAAACATTTCTTGCCTATAAGGAAAAAAAATCCCAACTTCGCCATAAACAAATTGGGCAGCCAGGGGTGGGGGAGGGGGAGGGAGGAGTTTGCAGATTTTTCTTTTTAATGACAAAGATGGAGATTAGAAAGACTTCGCAGGGCTGGCATAGCTGATCCAGGATTTCCTTAGAAGTGAACCGTCCTGTAGTCCCATCTTAGCATACCTTACTGGGACATTTCACCAACTGCCTGTTCACAGCTTCCGACAAAAGCCAATTCCTCAGTCCCCAAATGTTGCTCTCTGACTCATCCCCCTCATTCTCATCCAAGCCCCAGGCTGACATCTTTAGCATTTTAGTTCCAATACAGCAAGCAGCTGGCACACAGTGAAAAGGAACCGAGCAAGTGAAGAGGAGGTATAATTCAGGTAAAGACAGGAAGGTCCCTGGAAAGGAGTGTTAGCAGGCAGGCCTCTGCAGCGGGCTCATAGGCTAGCTAACATTTCCCCGGGAGCTTTCTGCGTACAAGACACTGCTCACAACGGTCCTCATCTCCAACATACACATCACCACGTCCTCTGTTACAAACGGACAGCAATGACTCATTTCCCGAGCACTGAAACTGGATCCTAGCTCTGCCTCCTCCCCATCCATCAAACTCTTACCCAGTTTTCAAGAGCCAATTCAGATACCACTTCTCTGCACTTCCTATTTATTTCTCAGAACTTCTCTTCCCCTCCTTTACACCTCTCCAGCACGTTCTCTCTCACGTGACACTTACTCTGCTCTACCACTGAGGACTTGTGTAATTTCTGCTGCTAAGTTGTAAGCTCCTTGCTCCTTGGTGAGGGGCTATTTTTTTCTTTTTAACCTAACAGAAAGGCACCAACCAGTCCCTAGTGCTACAGGTGCAAGAAAAACAGTAGCAGTCAGGCACAACCCACGTAAGCTTTGGTTATATGACAAGGAGGGAAGCAGGCACCCTGTTGTCTGTCTCCTTACCAAGCAAAGTAGTCTACAGGGCTTCAAAGGGCATCCACACAGCTCTACATGACCCTCAGCTATTAGCTAACCCAGTGGGAAATGGCAATGGGTAGCAGAAAGCCTTCTGATTTTATAACCAGATGGTTTGAAAACTGCAGAATATATTCCCTACCTACAGTAGCAACAGTTGCTACCGCTGCTTCTAGATGTGTGTGTGTGTGTGTGTGTGTGTGTTTGGTGTTTATGGGGGGGGGGGGCGGCAATGAACCCAGTAAGTACTCTGCACTGAAGTTATTCCAGCTCTTCCTAGAGCTTCCTGTCCAGGGAAAGAAGATGAACTCTAAAGTTGAAGGTCAATACAAATCTTAGGATTTTAATCAATTGTCAGCTACCTCACAGACCAAGGCTAGAACTCTAGATTCCTACAATTCAGAGAAGTGACTCGTGGTTTTAAGACAAGGTCTCACTATGTAGCGTGACATGGATTATCCTTGAACTTACAGCAATCATCCTGCCTCAGCCTTCCAAGTTCTGAGATCACAGGTATGAATTACTGCATTGGGACGGAGAAGTATTTAACTCTCCTTAACATAAAATAAAAAGACCTAATATATAAGACACTCCAACACCCACAGAAAAACAGACACCCCACTGAGGAATGCTAGAGGGCTGGAGCTACCTCCATGAATTGTCCCCTTCCTCTGTAATTTAGTCACAATAACAAAGCACCATTATGTTAATGCTTCAACTTGGAGTTCATTATTTGGTCCCGTTGAGTTTATTTTCCAAACCTCTTTATATTATTTTTCAAATCCCCACGGCTGCCACCCTAGTGTGAACCACTACCACGATGTGCCTGAACAACTACAGAACTTCTGTAGAAATGGATTGCCTCCTCACTGGCCTCCTTATTTCGATCTTGGCTTTCCAGTTGATTTCTCAGGTCGTAGCCAGTGAGCTGAGGGAACAGTACTAACAGTGAATTCGTATTTCACTCTAATAATTAATGTTTGTAAATGTGACTTACTAGAAAAAAGCCGTGATCTAATTCAAGGAAACCCGATGTGCACCTAAATCCAAGACCAAATGAAGAGTAAGACCATATACCAACTGAAAACGAAGACAGAAATGCAGAATTCAGGACTGCACAAATGAGTCCTATTTTAATATGCCATGCTGATCTCCTCAGATAAGCAAAATCATTTGGACTAGTCTAGAGTTCATTTTCAGATCACAAATCACTTAAAAAGATGACCGGGCAACAAAAGGGTGAGAACTCAGTCCTAGCTGAAGCACTAAGGTCCCTCATTTGGCTCTACCGTGTCACCGAATCTACCTCTTCTAGCCAATCAGAGGACAGGGGCGGCATTCCAGATCTAGGACTATGTGATCCACATGGGGGGCGTATGACTTCACTGGGTGGACATGCAGGATGCGTGTCCTCCACGGTTTCCCATGCACTTGGTGAAGGAGAGAGGCGATCTGAGTTTCTGCAGATTCCGCCCAGCTCTGCCACTCTGCTTTGCTGGCTGCTGACAGCGTGTCCCCTCTGACATTCCCAGTAGTTCCATTTCCCCGTTTATCAGGGAGGATGTTTTGGGGATGAGGCCAGTGCTCTTTTCCCGAGTCACTGCTTCCAAGAGGCTGGGGTTTCTTTCCTGGGAAGGACTCCACATTTTGGTGGATATGCAGAATCCCCCCCACATCCTTCCGGAGCACTTGGCAGGCAACGGGCCAGCCTTCTTCAGAGCTGGGAATCAGCCCCAGGTTCACCCGATCTGCGGTGTCTGCGAGCTTCAGCTTCCTGTTGTCTCCAAAGTGTATCTGACACCGGTCTGCCACGCCATTGAGCTCCAAATTGTGTCTCAGAGCAGCTACAGCCTGAGGGTTCCACTCGCAGGCATGGACGAAGGCAGCGCCGGCATGAACCAGGAAGGGCAACGTGAAATAACCAATGCCCGCATAGAGGTCCACCAGCACCTCCCCAGCGCAGGGCAGAGACGCCACTCGAAGTTTCTCCGTGATGTTCCCGAAGGAGAACATGCACTGGGTCACATCCAACTTATACCGGATGCCGTTATCCACATGCTCTACCCAGCCATGCTCGCCCAGCAGCAGCGTCACTGACGGAGTTCGAGTACCATTAGGTGACACCCGCCCGCGTTTGGCCAGACGTTGGACTCCAAGGGCTGAGGCGACGGTCTCCCAGAGTCCCGGGAGTTCCAGACTTTTCCACTGCTCGGCTTGGAAACAGTCTTCACTAAGCAGCACCAGGTCACCGTGCCGTTGCCAAGACCGGGGCAGATCGGCCTCCAGCTGAGCGGCCCACGTCAGGCCGCGGTCCTCCACCCAACGCCTCACCTCGAGGCGGAGTCTCTGCGCAGGTGAGCGAAGCCGGGCCTGTTTAGAAGGAAGGGGATCGGGGAGCCGCGCCAGCACGCAGGTGCTGCCCGGGGCCACGCGACTCCTCAGCTCCTGCAGGTGCTGCTCAGGGAGGCTTTCCGCCAGCACCGGCAGCGCCACCAGGCCATCCCGCAGCTTCTGCACTCGGTGCTGTCTATCCAAGAGCTCCTGCTTCTCCAGATAGTCTCGGTACCTCTGGGTGAACCGAGGCTCAGTCACAACTGCGACAACTGCGGGCTTCGCGCCGTCCGTCGCCATGTCGCTAGCGTTCGCATCCCTGTGGTGTCGGGCTGCTCGCTCTCTCTGCCGGGACAACCGGAAGAGCTGGGCGCTCGCCGCCACGGCGCGCCGGAAGTGACGCCAAGCACACAGGCCGGATCTAGATGGGTTACTGCAATCAGCGACTGCACTCTCGCATGCTTTATGAAGCCGCGGGCGCCATGTTTGTTATGGTTATGGTCAGCCAGTACTTGCTTTCACTTAGGAAAATTAGTCACTCTCGTGGACCGAAAGTCACGAAATGAGTCGATATCCTCCAGAAGCTTTATACACTCTCTTTAGTGCTTCTCATAAAAAAAAAAAACAACCAAGTGAATTAGCAATGATGGATTGGATTTACAGAAAGGCTTCCAATAATTTAATGTTGCTCAAAAGTTAGCGCCAGCAGCCACCTTATGGAAAGTGGAACGGGATATAGCTTCCTCATTCCTTTTTCTTGCAAAAATGTTGATTACCCGAATCATCTTCAGAAAATTGCTATTGTGCGTTGAAATGGTTCGAAGGGTAAGGGAGCGTTTGCTGCCAGGCCTGACCAACCCCACATAGCAGAAGGAGGGAACCAAACCCAGGTCTTCTGAAAAACATCAAGTGATCCTAATCGCTGAATCCCTTTCCCCTCCCTCCCTCCCTTCATTCCTTCTTTCCTTCTTTACCTCCCTCCCTCCCTTCCCTCCTTCCTTCCTCATACAGACAGGGTGGAGGGCGCACTCATGCCATAGCGCAGGTGTGGAGGTCAGAGGACAGCTTCCAGTGGCGGTGTCTCTCCTCTATTTCCACAGTGTGGGTACTGAGGAAGAAACTCGGGTTGGCAGACTCACTTGCAAGCTCCTTTACTTGTGGAGTCCTCTTGCCAGCCCATGCTTGACTTTTTTTTTTTTTAAACCAGTTTATAGTGTTGTAAATATAAACAGTGAAATGAGTACCCAAGACTCTTGAGTTGTAACCATAGCACGTTTATTTGGCTCCTTCTGTAAGAAATATCACATGTTGAGACTTTTCTATCAAATACTATAAAACTTGTGTTTAAGACAAAAAATTCAAATCTCTTTTTATCTCCCCCCAGTTGTAAGACTTTTATGCAAATGTTTTAATTCTCCACCCACTTGGTAAAAACCTTTGTTTAGACAAAGGTCCATTGCTGTATTCCAGGAAATTGATGTCCTGGAGCAGTGATCTCTTTCTTCTTGGCAAACGGGCCCCTTTCGGCTTTCTTCATTTCCTGTGTGCTAATTATTTTCAGATTAGCCGATTAAGGCTGAGGTTGAACTCCAGACAACGGGGGACAGACACAGTCACCACCTGAGTTAGAATGAAAAGCAAATGCACATCCTGTCCTTGTGTGGTCACCCTCCTGAGCACACACTCTTGGTCCAGTTTGCCTGTCCAGACTTCAGTTGGAATTCGGGTCTCTTGCTTTTTGACCCGGAACTTATTTCCAAGACTTCTCATTGAGAGCAATGTTTTCCTACTCATGCCTGAGGACTTGGGCTCTCTGTATCTTTTTCTTCTGTGGCTCATTGGTTATTTTATACTGCATTGCTTAATTAATTTCCATATGCTTGGAGTTTTTCAAACTTCTTTCTTTTATTGATTTCAGATTTTTACTCTACCATGGTCAGAGAACATGTTTAGACTTATTGAGGCTTTTCTTATAGTTCAGAATATGGTCTGTTCTGGAGAACATTCTGTGTGCACTTGACAGGAGTATTTATTTGTTCTGCTCTTGCTGTGTGGAATGTTCTATAGATATTTGCTAGCAGGTATCTTCTCAGCTCATGCTTAAGTAAACAATTCTGGGGTGGGAGTATAGCTCAGTAGTACATAGTTGATGGTAAGTATAAAAAGGACACATCAGTGAACAGATAAATGAATGGCTGGATGGATAGAAGAAAGATCTGAAAGAAAATTACTTCATAGTCCTGGTGTTTTAGTTTCAAAATATTGCCGCTAGAGGGCAGCAATAGCCAGCGCAGACTAAATCAAAACGGGCTAAAGTCTTGGATGGTTTGAATATCCAAGGCTCCTCAAGGATCACACCTTTCCCACTGGTTTTTACTTGACACCATTAGATGCCCTTTGCTGCTACGGACTACCTAGCTGAGTTAATGTAGCTCTTTCCAGGAGTGCATTAATAAAAATAAGTAACTACATAGATTTCTCTGCGTGATAAAATGCAGAGCCTATGACCCTAGAGTAGAGTGCGGGCACCAAACCTACATGTAACAGTTGTAGTACCAAGTGATTCCACTAGGGGGCATGCATGTAATGAGCGCCTCACCATAGCCTGTGACTGTCCGTCTCAGAGTGGGCTATTTTGTTTTCAATCTTCCCTGGATGAAATCGATGCAACGGTTTGCCTTACAAAAACCTTTGGGATTGCATCTCCTAGTGAGTTTCTTCTTGTTTTTAGATCTTAGGTTTCAGAGTTCACCTGCACGGGCACTCCCAATTGTGTGTGTGTGGGGGGGGGGCGGCAGGGCGGGGCTTCACAATGTCTTCACAAGGTCACATGTTTCTGTAAAATTTCAAAACAAGATGTCTTAACCAAAAGCTGAGCCAGGAGGTGGGCACACCCCTTTAATCCCAGCACTTGGGAGACAGCCAGAGGCAGATCTCTGTGAGTGTGAGGCCAGCCTGGTAGACAGGGTGAGTTGCAGGACAGCCAGGGTTACACAGAGAAACCCTGTCTCTAAAAACAAAACGAACATATCACTGTTCTGCGCCGGCCCATCTTCATGTACATAGGGTAGTCTTGTAGTTGGCGTATTGGAAACCTGGTAGGCGAAGTTAAAACAAGAGAACATTTAGTTTTGGCTTAGTGGGGGTACATTTAAGAGATTGTAATCAGTCCCACATGTAGCTCTTCAGGACCACCTTTCAGTAATATTTCCAAGCTAGCTGAAAACTCACTTGACATCTTGGCTGGAAGGTGCTGGAAGGTGTGAGGTCAAATGTCTTATGATTTCATAAATGTGTTGTGTGGTGCTGAACACCAGAAGGTTATGGGCTGTGGGAGAGAGACTAGGTTTCAGAATTGAGGGGGTATTAATTTAGAGTGTAGAAAATTCTTTGAGTCTTGAGACATGTAGATTTTTTTTTTGAAAATATTTATTTTCGTGTGTGTGTGTGTGTGTGTGTGTGTGTGTGTGTGTGTGTGTGTGTGTGTACATGCATGTGAGTGGCCAGGAAGGCCAAAAGAAAGTGTCAGGCCTTTTGGACCTGGAGTTACAGGCTGCTATGAGCTGTTTGATATGGGTGTGGTCCTCTGCAAGAGCAAGATGCATTCTTAACCACTGGGACATCTCTCTAGCTCCCAGCATGTAGATTTTGAAACAGAACCAGAATGTGCTGTCAGCTGTTCTGGGCATGTATGCCCCGAGGATGCTGGGAGATGGCCCGAGGATGCTGGGAGACGGCCCGAGGATGCTGGGAGAAGGCCCGAGGATGCTGGGAGAAGGCCCGAGGATGCTGGGAGAAGGCCCGAGGATGCTGGGAGAAGGCCTGAGGATGCTGGGAGACGGCCCGAGGATGCTGGGAGAAGGCCTGAGGATGCTGGGAGACGGCCTGAGCTTACACTACCCTCTTCTCTACTGGCTCAGGGGTTCTTACCGGCAGTGTATTCACACACACTGCGGAGTTCCTTCCTTTTGGCCATAAGTGGTTCTGGATACTCAGCCACACCTTTTGCTGGCTGCTTTACTTTCATCAAATAAACCCAACCTCACGGTTCTCTTTCTCATAGCTGATGGAGAATTAACTTCCTTTCTGGGGTCCTCCCTGCTCACGGTTGAGCCATGATTTTGCAGACTCTCTCCCTTGTCCCTGTACTTGTGATTTTCCCATGATTTTAGGAGAATCATGACATTGAAGTATGGGGAGGTGTTCCTGGTGAACTGTGATCACTACTGTCTGCATCCGATTGGCCTCTCGGGGGTTCCTAGAGTTGAAGTCCCATCTTTCCAGGGACTAGAAGGTGTGGGCCCTGATTCCCTTTTCACTCAGGACCTATTTTTTCCCGTTTCTTCAAATCCAGAATCTCCAATGGCAGCAGTCCTTCTTTATTAATTTTGTCCCCAGGCTTCTTACTATGACTTTTCATTTGTTCCTGGCTGGTTCCCTGATCCCATGGATTAGGCTTTGGAGGAAGGCATTTAGGAAACCAGGCAGGTTACTCCTGCTGGTTGTTTTGTTTTGTTTTGTTTTTGTTCCACCCCTCCTAGAGTGATGGAGAGTGAGCAGATTGTAATTATGAATGAACACAAAGGAAGAGATGGGAGAAACAAAAACACTTGAATTAATACTTCAAAATATAGCACAAAGCATACGTTCATTGTGAGTGTTGTGTCAGGTATGGTCCTAGGAAAATGTGATGTACTATGTTACTTGGTAATGCTGAGTTGAGTTTTATCCTTGGTCTATTGATGAGACCAAGGGCTAGAGAGACTTAGTAGCTTGCACAAGGCCATCCTCAAATGGTTGGGCTGTGTATCATAGTGTCAGGGCAGGGTCCTAGGGCTTGTCATTATGGGATCTAAGACAAGTCTGGTCTCAGAGAAAGATGTGGCTGGCAGCTCTGCCAGTTAATAACTTTGCAGCTCCGGGCACATCTTTTAATTATCTCGGCATGAATTTCTGCACCAGCAAATTAATACTGTTGTGCTAGAGTCTCAGGCCCCGGGTTCTGCATGAGAAAATTAACAGTACAGACCCGAATGACTTCAAGTATTCTTTCAGAGGGTCTGTGGCTTCAAACTGTCTTATAAATTCCAGTCACCAGGGCAGCTTCTCTGAAACCCTCCCTACTCAACCCTCCACCGTCAGAAGGGTTTGAGAGAGCATATCTAAAAAGTGTATTCCTAGAATCACCCCCGATTACGCAAATCTGCAGCCGAATCTCTGCAGATATAGCCGACAGTCTCCTGGGGTTTTCAGACTACAGTTTAGGTGGCCTAGATTGTATCTTGTGTTCCTGTAGGACGTGAGGGAAGGTAAGAACTCGACAATGGGAGAGAAGAGGCCAATGCACGCTAGAAAACATGCTGGTTGGAATGAGAATGGTTCCTGTAGGCTTCTCTATTTGAATGCTTGCTCCTCAGTTGATGAACTACTTGGGATTAGCAGGTGTGGCCTTGTTGGAGGAGGCGTGTCACTGGGGGTAGTTTCGAGGTTTCAGAAGCCCATGCCATTTCCAGTTAATCTCTCTCTCTCTCTCTCTCTCTCTCTCTCTCTCTCTCTCTCTCTCTCTCTCTCTCTCTCTCCCACACACACACACACACTCTTCCTCTCTGTCTCCCTCTTTCTTTGCTTCATACCTGTGGATCCCTTATAAGTTCTCAGCTACTGCTTCAGCACCATGCCTGCCTACCTGCCTGCTCCCCTGCCTCCCTGCCTCCCTGCCTGCCTGCCTGCTCCCCTGCCCTGCTCCCCACCATGATGGTCATGGACTCCAACCCTCCGGAACTGTGAGCCCCCGAACTAAACATTTTCTTTTATAGGTTGCCTTGGTCACAGTGTTTTGTCGGGCAATAGAAAAGTAACTACGACAGACGACAACTGGTTTAAAACAAAAAGATTTAAAACCAGACTCTGGTGTGTGGGGTCGGTGAATGGATTGGTGTGACTGCAGAGAAAGGGTGCCATGGTTTCCATGTGTTGTTCCTCAACGTTTCATGCACTGGAGACTGACTTGGTCTTCAGTGTGGAGGTGGGGCTTTTAAGAGATGGGCACTAGTGGGAAGTGTCCGTAGGTCAAGTGAAGACATGTGCTTGGAAAGGACTGTGAGACCTTTACCTTCTTCTGGCTTCCTGCCTAGTTCGGTTCTTGTTTCCATACATCTTCGCCATTTCTACCACCATGAGATGAAACAACTAAGGAAAGTCCTCATTACAGACAGGATCACGTTGTTTAGACGTCCAACCTCCCCACAATGTGAATAAGCCCCTTTCATTTATAAAGTTAGCCTGCCTCAGGTCTTCCACTGTACTTATACCAAATGGACTAATCTCAGGTCGTATTAGTCAGCTGCAGAAAATTAGCTAAATGAGCTAAGTGGGGCGAATCATGACCCAGAATAGCCCTTTTTAGTGATTAGAGGATGAATCTCTGCTAGATAAAAATGCACTTATGGGACCAGAGAGCTGGCCTAGTGAGCAGCGTGTTGCTATGCAAGTCCAGGGACCTGAGTGTGCGACAAGGGCCTGGACAGTGTGGAGACAGCAGAGTGGTTCCAGGTCACAGCCTGCAGAGAACCAGGTCTGGGAGGGAGAAGACTAAGGCCATATGATCCCAAGACGAACTGTTTCGTTGCAGGGTGGAGGGAAGCAATGCCTGTACTTGAACTTGGAGGAGCGCATCCAGGTGTTTTAATGGACTGATCTTCATGGGCAGCTTGAGGAGAGCAGCAGGCGGGGTGACAAGGTGGAAGACGGCCCCGGGCTGGGGTGGCTGCTCACAGAGGGACAGTTAGGTTTGTGTCTCTGCTTCTCATGTTAAAGGATAGCAAGTTGTGTCTAAGGGACTCTTTGGGCTCCTACAGGGTGGCAAAGGGTCACAGGCCTCTTGTTTCACTATCAAATGGGAGTTAAATAAAGTCCACGATTGCCCAAGCTCTTCTTTCTTACAGGGCAACATTCTAGCAGAAACGTAGGGCCCCCTCCTTCCCCCACAGTTCAAACAATGAATGAGTGGACTTTCAGCAAAGAGCCAGACAAACTGTTTAATCACTTCCCCACATACATACTTCATGGATTCTAAGCTACTAACCATATACAAAGTGAGTCTGTTCTGGCCTCTAATGGACATCTTATGCAAATACTAACTGCCTAGATTGCACCACCACCCTCTTCCTGGGAGGAGAGAGCCATTGGTGCCGGTGCCCCAGTGGGGGATAGCTAACCAGCTAGGTCACAACCATTCACAGAGCTCAGGCAGAAAACATCAGTTTCTGAGTTCCATCCACTTCCCCATTCATCTTTTGTGGTTAATGCTCTTCACATTCCTAAGATGGCATGATTGATATTGGTAACCTAACCACAGCCCCGAATTTTTAGTTCCCCCGGTTATACTTCATTTATTATACATGCCTTTTTACAATTTGTATGGTTTTGGTGTACCCTTTGAGGTTTAGTTGGCAATAACATTACATTACAATTCGTATGAAGAGCCAGGCATATACGCGCAGAAATGACTCCAGAGGCATGCTGGAGAATGTCATACAGACAGATGCAGTGGGTTGAGTAGTGGTTCCTCTCCTAGTGTCGGCCTGGAATCTCACATGATCTTTTTTTTTTTTTTTTTTCAGATTTATTTATTATATATACAGTATTCTGCCTGCATGTATCCCTGCAGGCCAGAAGAGGGCACCAGATCTCATTACATATGGTGGTTGTGAGCCACCATGTGGTTGCTGGGAATTGAACTCAGGACCTTTGGAAAAGCAGTCGGTGCTCTTAACCACTGAGCCATCTCTCCAGCCCTCACATGATCTTATTGGTCCTTGCGGATGTAATCAGGATGAAGTTATACTGGATTAAGATTGATTATTAAGTCTGACGGCTGGTGGCCTTACACGGAACGCTGAGGACCCACACAGATACTTGAAGAAGGACGAAGGCAATGTGACTTTGAGATCAGGCATGAGAGTGATGTACCTACAAGCTCGAGGGTCACCAGGGCCACCTGCAGCTGGGAAAGAGAGTACGGTCCTGCCAACTTCTTAACTTCAGACTTTCAGCCTGGAGGGCTATGAGGCCACAGACTCCCATCCTTTAAACTCTTAGTTTATGTCAAATTGTTGCTGCAGTCTTAGGAAGTGACACCTGATCTTTGGGAGAATGTTCCTGTGACTCATCTGTTCACATATTCACTCACCTGCCACTTCTGGATTCCAGGTGCAGGGGACACTGACCTGCATCGAGGGAACCAGGGATCATTGGGGCCACTTCCATCCTAAGTGGCTTTAGCTGATGATGTCAGAGTCAGCACCGGCTTCAAGGTTGTGTGGCCTCTGTAGCTGCACGTGGCTCAAAGTTCGGAAGCACTTGGTCCTGTATTTAGCACTCTGCAGTGGCTGTCTTGAAAAATATCCCAATTTTTGAATAAGTGATGCTCCATTTTTATTTTGCACTGGGCCCCACTAATTATTATTATGTGTCTTGTTCCTTCTGGGGTAATTATGTAAACATTGACGGTATCAAGAGGGCATGGAGAAGGACCCACTAGGGTAATGTAGGATTCCTTGAAGGGAGAGTCTGTGCATAGAGCAAATTAAAAAAGCAGACATCTACAAAGCTGTATGGCTGTGACTTTGTCCGCAACTGCCTAGAAACAGATCTTTAACAAATATGTGAAGTCTAAGTTCTATTTTTTGTGTGTGTGTGCTTATAACGTGCAAAATATAGTAGTACAATAACTTCTGCACATATAATCTTAAAATGTGTCACTTATATTGGGGTCCTCTTTCACTAGCATATATTAATGGTACAGAGGAAGGGATTTCTGTGTGACATTCTTATATGCATAGAGGACACTTGATAATGGTCACTTATTATTTAATAAGCCTTCTCATTTCCCCTCTCACACTACCTTTCCTTTTCTACACAGCTCTTCCTTTGCTTTTGTGTCCTTTTCAGATGTCCTAGACCCCACAAATAAGAGCGAACATGAAGGACTTCTGGATCTGGCTTGGTGGGTGTATGTGAAGGTCTGTGTGTATCTCTTGCTTTGTTTATCTGTCCATTCATTGATGAGCTCCTTGGCTGGTGCCACAATTTGGCTATTGTGACCAGTGTAGCAGTAATGATGGGTGTGTAGCTATCTGGACAGTAAACAGACTTTGTTCAGTTGGAGGACATACCCGGAAGTGGTGTAACTGGATTGTATGGAAGTCCTTTTAAATTTTTTTTTGAGGAAACTTGAGACTGATTTCCATAGCAGCTGCTCCAATTTACATTCTCAGCACCAGTGTGTCAGAGTTCTCCTCATCCTTGCCAACATTTGATGGTTTTTGTTTCTTTATTGGCAGCCATTCTGACTGGGGTGGGAAGGAATTTCAATGTAGCTTTAAACTTGCATTTCCCTGACGGCTAAATGTACTGATTATTAAGGTCTTTTCTGACTCTTGGAATCAGCAAGGAGCCTTCAAGGGCCATAATGGCTTATGGGAAGGAGACTCAGAAAAATACAAGGAAACAACCTGGAAAGTCCTTATTTCTTACAAGACAGTTTCAGAGGAAAATATGAAAACTTTGGAATGATAGTATAATTCAGTAAGATCCCAAGCCCAGGGCCTCACTCTGACTGCTTTACAATGACTATGAGCTCCACATGTGCAGAGTGAGCTCACAGGAATGTGCAGCCCGTTGTCTTTCTGTTTCAACAGCCTTCACTTGGGACTTCCCTTTATTTATAGAAAAACTAAAGTTCTTGGCATTGTGTTAGAGGTTGGGTGAGTTGTTTAAAAGTTGGGGTCTTATTCTTCCCTCTCACCCCGAGTGCCCCATGGGAAACAATCAGTCTCTGTATCGAGTCATGCTCTCCTGCCTCCGTATCATGGACCCACTGCTTCCTCTTGAAGGCATCACTTGCAGCTATATTTCCCCAAACCCTTTAAATCTGGCCCCCATGACACAATCCTCTCTGTGGTAGCTTGAATGAGAAATGTTGCCCATGGTCAATCTCTATCTGCTGGCACTGTTTGGGGTGTTTAGGTGGTACGGGCTCCCTGGAAGAGTATATCACTAGGGCCAGGCTTTGAGACTGAAATCTCGCACCACCACTTCAGTTCATAGCACTTGGTGCTAGCATTTGAAGATGTGAGCTCTCGGCACCCTTTTCCCACCACCAGGCCTGCCTTTTGCTGCTGTGTCTCCCTACTGTGATGCGACATGGTATATCTCTGGAACCATAAGCCAAAAATAAACTGTCTTTTACAAGTTCCCTTGGTCATGGTATTTTATCACAGCAACAGAGATATAACTGATACATTCTCTCAAATACTGATGGCTTCTCCTTGTCTCAACCTCCTCAGCTCAAATGGGAGTTAGACATTGTGCTCTCATGACCTACACTATATCGGATCCACAGTTCACCTGACACTCTTGTTATTTGGTTATAGGTTTTGTCTTCACCACCAGCTCAAACTGCTACAGCCCTGTGACTTCATGCTTTCTGAGTCCCCACCCCAGCAACAGGGTCAACTGAAGTCTGCTCTTTTGTCAGCTCGTCGTAACAAACTTAGGTCTAAAGTTACGAAATATGAATCCTATATTTCAACATTCTGGTCACTGGAGACCAGGAACAACTGATGCTGAACTGCCTGAAATTCCTAGCCAGGCAGTGGCGGTGCATGCCTTTAATACCAGCACTGGGGAGGCAGAGGCAGGAGTGATCTCAGTGAGTTTGAGGCCAGCCTGGTCTACAAGGTGAGTTCCAGGTCAGCCAGGACTATGCAGAGACACCTTGTCTCAAAAACCAAACCAAACCAACAGAAAAAGAGATTTCCAGTATTATTTTCTATCTACAGCTGAGAATCATGAGCATACTTACGCATTTGACTTCAGTATGAGCTAGAACATCACTGTAATTATTTTATGTGTGTTATGTAACATATGTGTGTGTGTGTGTGTGTGTGTGTGTGTGTGTGTGTGTGTGTTTGTGTGTGTATGTATGTGTTTATGTTTCAAGACAAAGTTTCTCTGTGTAGCCCTAGCTGTCTTGGACTCACTCTGTAGACCAGGCTGGACTTGAACTCACAGAGATCCTCCGGTCTCTGCCTCCCAAATGCTGGGATTAAAGGCATGTACCATCACCACCTGGCAGTGTATATTTTATGTAACAACAGGTGGTTATATGTTGGATTTGTTTTCACAAAGGATCTGTTACAGTTAAAAAAAATAGAACTGGAGCTAATGTATGTAAATTAAGGTTTTAGGAGGAAGGTCCAAACGGACCTTTTTGCATTGATACTGACAAATTAAAAACACTTCTCAGATAAGTCGAGGTGGCATTCACTTATCTTTTGTATTGTCTTCTAGAAAAAGATTGCTTGAGGTGTACTTATGTTAACAGGGCAGGTATTATAGTAAGCTGGTAAGTTCTATATTTTTAGTATATGTCACCCAAGTCTATTTTTTAAAATTTATTTTATGTGTAAGAGTGCATCATATGAATGTATGCTGTGCATCACATGAGTGCCTGGTATTGTTGGAAGCCAGAAGTGGGCATTGGATCGGATCCCTTGGAACTGGAGTTACAGACAGTTGTGAGCTGCCATGTGGGTGCTGGGAACTGAATCCAGGTTCTCTGGAGGTGCAGCCAGTGCTCCTAACTACTGAGCTGTCTCTCCAATCCCCAAATAAATATTTTATAGAGCTATAATCTTTGGGAAGAAATGCTCCTATGTCAGTCCCTGAGTAGGAGTTCATAACAGTGACAAATATTTTTTTTACAGAATTGTACCTCCAATATTAGAATGGTACTTTATATGTAATGGCTGGATTTAGTCAGTACATGCTATATGCATGCACTAAAATACCATACTGAATTGCATTCTATATACAATTAGTATATGTTAGTTTGAATGACTAGTCTTACCACTTGAAAAAATCTAGATTTGCCTGGGAGATGGACCTCTGAGCATGCCTTTTGGGAATTATCTTGGTTATTTTATTGGAGTGTGCAGACCTGGTTACTGTGGGTAGCACTATTCCCTAGGCAGGAAAGGCAGGATTGTATAAAAATAGAGAAAGTCAACTGAGCACAGGCATGCATTAATTCATAGCTCTCTGCTTTTTTGTGTGTCCACCTATCTCAATCTGCTATTTCATCTTCCCTGACATGATTGTACCCCTGGAATGTGAGCTTGGATAAGCCCTTTATCTTCTAAGTTGATTTTTTTTTTAATTACTGCAACAGGAAAGACACTAAGGTATTAGTCAAAAATAAAATTAAAAAGAATTTTAGAAGTTTGATACTGTTGTGGGATAATCTTTTTTGTGAACTGTGTAAAGATGTATTGCTCTTTTACCTTGCCTGATTAAGGCACCTGATTGGTTTAATAAAGAGCTGAATGGTGATTGGCAGGAAGAAGAAAATAGGCGGGACTTCTGGGGAGAGAGGAACTCTGGGAAGAAGAGAGGCGAGAGATGCCAGCGAGACACAGATGGAGTTGGACATACAGAATGAAGGAGAGGTAAAAAGCCACATGGCAGGATGTAGGTTAATAGAAGCAGGTTAACTTAGGTTATAAGAGCTAGTTGGGAACAAGCCTAAGCTAAAGGCCAAGCTTTTATAATTAGTAATACATCTCTGTATAATTATTTGGGAGCCAGTGGTCCTGATGAGAAAGTACTACTACATGATACATGGAATTTTTCTTTCTTTCTTTTCTTTCTTTCTTTTTTTTTAATTGCTTTAGTTTATGTGAGACAGTCTCAAGTAGCCAAGGCTGGCCTCAAACTGGCTATATAGACCAAGCTAGAGTAGAAGTCCTGATCCTCTTGCCTCTACCTTCCAGGTGCTGGGATGATAGGCATGTGCCACCACACCCAGCTATTGAATTGTTTTTTAAAAATCTGGATTAAAATAAGAGCACAACTACCTATTTTGGATCATATATCTTAATTTTCTAGAGCCACGTCTAATAAAAGACTATGGTTATAGTGTGGGGGTTAATACCGTCTTCATTTTTGTCCCTTTTCTCAGTCCTGGGGATGGCCCCAGGATCTCACATGTAGCAGGCATGTGATCTTCTCCTGAGCTATACTCTGACCTGGAGTTAACATTCCAAACTGTGTCTCTCTTCAGAGATCCCACCTCCTGCCACTTCTTTCTTTAGGAAGCAACACAGACTCACTTCTCAAATTTAAAGAAAGTTCTAGAGCTGGGAATTTCATATTTGATAGCTGAAAATTTATAGACCATCTAGTATATATTAAGGCAATATCTAACACAATTATTTTTAAAAGAGGGAAAAGGAAAGAGAAATTCTAACTAGAATATGATTCTTGAAATGATTTATGATTGAATTAAAAACATAAACTACTTTGGGATAAATCTATTGGAAGCTGTATAAGACTTCTTCACTAAAAGCCATAAAATATTGCCTAGAAGTTAATAAAGATCTACATAAATGGGAAATGTCTATGAATTAGAAGGTGAAATATTATGGAGATGTCTGCTCTTTCTGAATTTTTCTTTGGATTTTGTGAATCCTAGTGAACACCTCCCTGACCTCTCCTATGGGACTGTCTTAGGGTTTCTATTGCTGTGAAGAGACACCATGACCACGGCAACTCCTATAAAGAAAACATTTAATTGGAGTGGCTCACTTACAGTTCAGAGGTTCAGTCCGTTATCATCATGGCAGGGAGCATGGCAGCTGGGAATGTGGCAGCTGGGAGTATGGCAGCATGCAGGCAGTCATGGTGTCTAAGAAGGAGCTGAGAATTCTTACATCTTGACCCATAGGCAACAGGAAGTGGTCTGTCTCGATGGTTATGGCTTGAACATATATGAAACCTCAAAGCCCACCTCCACAGTGACACACTTCCCCCAACAAGACCACACCTACTCTAACAAGGCCACACCTCCTAATAGTGCCACTCCCTTTGGGGGCCATTTTCTTTCAAACCACCACAGTGACTATTGGTGGCAATTGACAACTTAGTTCTAAAATGTATGGGAGAAGGAAAAGCATTACAAGGGTCAGATAAGTCTCCAGAGCAGTTGGAAGATTTATTGTAATGTTGCAGTGACCAAGAGGGCCCAGCTGGTAGTGAACAGAAAAAAATACGCATTGATAGTTCAGAGATAGATGGGTACATACATAGCTAGACATAGAACTGGCTATGTAGCTCAAGCTAGCCTTGAACTTGTGGAAACTCTCCCAGTGCTAGGATTACAGGTGTATGCTACTGTGCATGAGTGCTAATTAATATTTAATGAAGGTACTTCAGCACTTTAGTTGAGAAAAAAAGCCTTTTCAATAGTTTTGACAGCTTGATGTTCATATGGAACAAGACCTTTGATCTCTCTGTAACATAACACAGGAAAAAAATAATTCAAGATGATTCATCAGCCTGAACATAAAAGCTGAAACTGTAAGGTTTCTTGAAAAAAAATTGATCATCGTAAGTTGGTGTGGACAAAGACTTTTTAGGGAGAACACAAAAGCACTAACCATAATGAGAAAAGTTCCATCAACTGAACATCATAAAATTGAAAATCCCCATAAAAAATTCATAAACAAAGCACAGATTGAGAGGAGACATTTGCATTATATAAATAAAGTTCTCTGCTAATGAGCAGCAGAAAGGTACCAAAAATTTACTGAAAGTCTCACATAATCATATTGCAAAAAGATGTAAACATGAGTAATAAATGTGTGGAAATGTGCTCAATGTAACTTTCATCATGCAAATACAAATTGAAGTCATAAGACACCCCCTAGAACGGATAAAAGTTAAAAAATACTGACACTACCATATGTTAGCAAGGACACAGAGCCACAGAAACTCTCCTATATCACTGCACAAATTTAAAATGATAGGACTCCGCTAGGAAACTGTTCAGCAGTTTCTTATAAAACAAGGCACATACATACTGTATGATGCCGTAAGACCACGTTTATGTTTTTGCTCAAGAGAAATGAAAGCATGTGTCCACACGAACACAGGACAAGGATGAGTGCAGCTATTTTATTTGTGATTACCAGGACACAGAAGCAATCTAAATGTCCATCAGTAGAAGGAACTGGTATAGTCAGTCACACAATGGCATGACTGTCAGTGACCAACAGTAGTAAACCACAGTGTGGAAAAACACCAAAGACTATTTTAACGAGTGAAAAAGACGGGTGAGCTGGTACTGTGTATTCAAGGCTCGAGTTGCATGAAGTTCTAGAACAGACAGACACCTGCTTTCTGAGGTTAGAGGTT